GTGTGTGTGTGTGTGTGTGTGTGTGTGTGTGTGTGTGTGTGTGTGTGAGAGAGAGAGAGAGAGAGAGAGAGAGAGTTCCCATATTAATGATTAATCTAGCCATAGCTATTGTGAGATCAGGTCCCATGAGGTAAATATTTTATTGCCTTCACAGAGCAGTGGGAAGCCAGGAGCTGCCGGGTTGATTCAGAGCATGCTCTGTCTAGCCAGTCTCCTGCTTCTGATGGTGCCAGTTGTTTCATAGGAAGGTGCAAGAAAGCCCGTAACAGACAATGCCCAGAGGGGACGGTGGGTCCTGGCTCCCTGATTCTCATGGAGCATGTTCACTGGCCCCAGCCCTGGAGCTGGTGAGAGAAGCCCTGGGGTTGCTCTAACTTGTGCCAGCTCTCCAAGGGACTGACTACAGCTGACAATAGATTGCCAAGTCTTTTGTCCCATTCCCAACCCCAGCATGCTGCCCCACCTTGGGGCAAGACTGGGTGTGTTGTAGGGACCTGCTAGGGCTACACTGGCTCTGTGTCCATTGAGAATGTCCCTGTGTTGGGGAGAGTCTCAGCCGGCCCGATGTGGCCGCTGTCCTGCTCCATTGCACCACCTGAGTGACCCAAAGGGGCAAAGGAGTGTAGAGAATCTCACCCAGGCAGTGTGATTTCAGCCTGGACCCTGAAGCGAGCGGGGAGCTGTTGGAGCAGTCGGAGGACGGGGGGTGTGGGTGCTGTATGTTTCAGGGCTCGGGCTGTGGCAGCCTGCACACGCTGAAGTCTGGAGAGACTGGGGGACAGTGGTGGTAATGGAGTCAGAGCAGGGCGGTATACAGGCTCGGCTGTGTACCGGATGCACGGAGAGATCGCTGTATGTTTTGCTTTCAAGGGATGGTTGATTTATTAGCCACTCCCCTCCCCCAATAAAGCGTCTGGTTCAAAGGTCTCCTGCTGGTGGTGGAACTGTTGTGGCAACCTGTTCCCTCCCTGTCTTCCCTGAGCCCACAGAGCTTAGGCCCCTGCCTTATGGCTAGTGTCTTTTAAGGGCAGCTTATGCACCCTAATACACGTATCAATCTTCCTTTAAATTATTCCTGAGAAACTAGTTGTCATTGCACAGTGTTGTGAGCCAGACCTGAGCTGACAGAGCCGGCTAGTGAAACTGACCAGAAAGAGACAGCGGAACTCACCAGCCGAGAATCCCTGCCCATATGGCCTGAGATACAGAGAGTGAACGAACGGCCTCGCAGGCGCAAAGCAGCCGGGCTGGCAGTCTATGGTGGGGTGAGCGGTGGGGAGAGCAGGCTTTTACAATGTACGTGTGTGGGATTATGGAGCCTGGCCTCGCCAACTGGGAGCAACGGCACCACGTTGAGGGTGAACTTGCTGGCTGCTCCGTGCCCAGGCAGGTTCGGGAACGGGAGAGGGGAGTTCTCGTTGTCCATGTGACACTGAGGAGGCCCGGATAACTCTTGGCAGGGCTGGGCCAGTGGAAAGCACTGGCTGATCAAAGGCAGTAAGAGGGAAATCGGGGAATGGGGAGGGATGGTGGAAACATCCCCTAGAGCAGGGATACAGTAATTCCTCACTGAACGTCGTCCCGGTTAGCCGTGTTACGTTGCTGATCAATTAGGGAACATGCTCGTTTCAAGTTGTGCTTTGCTCCCTTATAATGTCTTTTGGCAGCCGCCTGCTTTGTCCACTGCTTGCAGGAAGAGCAGCCCGTTGGAGGTAGCTGCTGGGGGCTTGGAACCAAGGTGGACCGGCAGCCCCCCATCAGCTCCCCGCTCCCCTAAGTTCCCTGTGCAGCAGCCGCCCCGCAGGCTAGCAATTACCGGGCAATTCAGCTGTCCCTCCCCCCACTGCCGTGTGCTGCTCCTGCCCTCTGCCTTGGAGCTGCTCTGGGAGCCTCCTGCTTGCTGTTTGGGGGGGGTGGGGGGAGCTGCTAAGGTCAGGGTGTCCCCCTCCCCCCGCTCCTGCACCCCGCTTACCCCATCTCTATAGAGCAGGGCGGAACATGTCAGGACTCAGGACGGAGGAAGCTTGCTGGCAGCAGCTGCTGTCTCAACTTGCTGATCTACTTAAAAAGGCAATGTACGTAGAGTGGGGTCAGCGTACTTAAAGGGGCAATGCGCCTCTCTCTCTCTCTCTCACACACAGTGTGCGTCTCTGTCTCTCTCTGCCAAGCTGTGTCTCCTCCCTCCATTCGTGCTGCTTTGTAGAGTGTGAGGCTACATTAACAACAACGTGTTAACCCTTGAGGGCTCAGCCAAGTGCTAGTTCATCATTTAGCAGTAAGACATTCCCTGGGAAATATCCCACCCTCTGACTCCACCACCTCAACCAAGCTTCACAATCATCATTGCTGTGGACAGTATTAAATTGTTTGTTTAAAACTTATACTGTGTGTGTGTATATATATAGATAGATAGATAGATAAAATAGTCTTTTGTCTGGTGAAAAAAATTTCCCTGGAACCTAACCTCCCTCCTATTTACATTAATTCTTATGGGGAAATTGGATTCGCTTAACATTGTTTTGCTTAAAGTCGCATTTTTCAAAAACAGAACTACAACGTTAAGCGAGGAGTTACTGTACTCAGAGCTCAGTGGTTCAGGAGCCAAGTTGGCGATCAGCATTACCCAAATCAGTCCTGTGAATTCATTGTTTCATTTACTCTAGTACTATATAGTCAGATTTAAACAGTATGACGGGAAATATTTAGTGCCTATATCTCTACATATTATTCTCACAGCAAGATGACTGGCCAAGTATTATTTTATCAACTACAGTGGGCTTATGACCTAGTAAAAGCATCCTGATTGGTTAATAACGGTGATTGGTTAATAATTCAATCACGCCGTGTTCTACTATCATGTGCTGCAAAGAGCCGCAGGAGCAAGGGCCCCCGGAGCTTTTGTAGAAGTGGGGGAGGGGTGGGGGGGGCAAGGCCAAAGTGGCGGAGGAATTAAAATAATTCTTAAATACCCCGCAGAGTACAGCTGTCACCTAAATAGCCAGAATACACAGTGTAGCCACATCATCGTATTGAAGGTATAATTATAGTACGGACAGATAAAAAAAAAATAAGACAACTTTAGTTCTCAACACTGCTGGGGGGAGGAGGAGATTTCCAGCCCATTCCCATCCCGAACTCGCAGGATCCGCAGCAGCACCCATTTCACCTCCTGCTTGGCTCGGGTCCCGGCCCCAGGGACTGCTTTGTCCCTTAGGCTTTGTGCCCAAGGCAGCAGCTACGTGTGGCGCCGCTCCTCCTGCAGGGGGCGCCCTCTCCTGCTGAGCCACCTCTGGCCAGCTGCCGAAGCCCCTGCAGTCAGGTTCCCTGGGGCCCTAGTGCACAACGCTTCCTTAGGGCTTAACCCCTTCCTGCCCGCGCTACAGCCGGAGGGACAGGAGGCGGCTGGACTATGTTAGTGGCCAGCAGCGGCCTGGAGGCTTTAGCCACCTGGAGGCCCTGTGCGGGTGGGAAGGGATTGGAGCTTCTTCCAACCACGGGGGAGAAGGGATGAGCTCTGACGGACCAGCTCATCCCTTCCCCCCTCCACCCTCACAGGGCCGAAAGGCTGCTGCTGGCCACATTCTGGGGAGCACGTGACCCCACGTGTCCCACCCACGTGTCGCCTCTATGATCATGTCTTTCCCACAGCACATATGGGAAAAATGGGGGGGGGGGCCACAGGTCCCTGGCACCCCTGGTTCCCCAGTGCACGGGAGACACATTCTCCTCACACGGGGGGCGCTTCCCCACCCCCGCACTGATCCATATGACGGCTGCTCTGGCCTCCTGCATACCCCTTCTCCGGGATGCCCTGCTGCTTGCGAGATACCAGCCTGCGTTTAAACAGCTAGGCGGGGGGCAGGTGGGCAGGGGTCTATACTATCAAGCAGGAAAAGCATGTCTGTGTGTCTATACGATGCATCTCTATTGGACGGTATCCATCTAGCCCGCCCTTCCTATGCCGTCCAGCTGGGTACATTGCAAGTCCTTTGGGGCAGATTACCCCGGTGCGTGTTTCTCAAGCGTCCATGCTCTTACCTCCTTGAGCTTGGCTCGCTAAGGGAGCAGTCAGGAGCCCCTGCATTCCCCGCTGGCACTGCTAGCTCGCCAAGGCTAACCAGCCGTTCCCATCCCGTTACAGCTCATACATCTACCAGAAGCGCTGGGTGAAGCTAGATGCCGACTACCTCCGTTATTTTGACAGCGAAAAGGTGAGTGGGGAGGCAGGCTGGGCCAGTGGGTGCAGAGGGCGCTAGCCTGGCCCTTGAGAGCTCTGAGTTCAATGCCCCGCTCTGTCACAGACTTTCTGTGTGACCGTGAGCCAGTCACTTAGCCTTTCTGGGCCTCAGTTCCCCATCTGTACAATGGGAATACCAGCCCCGCCCTGCCGTGTGGAGGAGAAATGCATTAAAGGTCGTGCGGTGCTCAGATACTGCAGTCGTGGGGCTGTGTAGGTACCTAATCTAGACTGTATGTCTTTGAAATCTGCCTCCCAGGGTGGGACTGACATGTGGTTTGGAGCTTCCCCCAGGGATGGGGACGTGCTCTTCTGGTTCGGGTTCCCCTCTGCTTTCTAGAAACCAGTACAGAGTGATAATAACTTGCATCGCACAGTTGGGCTGTGAACTAGAGCTCCCAAGCGAAGCAGCGCTAGGCCTGGTCAAAAGGTGGAAGGGAGACCCCCCTGCAGATCCAGGGTGATGTAAAGAGTAGCGTTGATGCTGCAGGCGGTGGCGTTCTTGTCTCTGAGTCAGCCCAGGATTGGCGCAGGGATTCTCATCTGCTTGTAGTCACGTAAGGTTCCACTCACTGCCAGAGTTGGTGTGGAATGCAGCCACCTCTGGGGTGGAAGGCAGTAGAAGTTTTTAACAGCGCACAGGAATGCTGGGCACTGCTTTAGTACAGGGAGTGGGTAAGGATACCCTGTCCAAGAGGGACTGAGGTTAACAGAATGGGGCTGACCCCCCTGCTCGAGTGACGGTGCTGGGGGGTCTCTCTGGACTATGGGTAGGGCTGATGTTGGCAGTGATGGGGCGCTCAGCCTCAGGTAGTGCTAGCACATGGGTGTTTCCTTGGGTCTGTTACCCTCCTGCTGCGTCTCTGGGGGGGTGGTTGTGACCCGTGTGACTCTCTGCTGCAGGACACATACTCCAAGCGCTTCATTCCGGTGACCTCAATAGCCCGCGTGGCCAGCATCGGGGACCAGAAATTCGAGGTGATCACTAACAACAGGACCTTCGCCTTCCGGGCTGAGAGCGATGGTGAGTGCGGGGAGCCCCGCAGTGTCGCTCGTGGCACGGGTTTCTCCAGGGCTGGCACTGTAGGGTGGGGAGAAGGAAGCAGAGAATAGGGAAGCAGCTGCTCCTCTTTCTCCCGCCTGCTTTGGGGAGCTGTTCAATAACTGAACCCACTACGCTGGTGACGGGTAAGAGATGTGGGCGCTCTCAGTCCCTCTGTTCCCTTGTATGTTGCTCAGGTTGGGGTCCCCAGGGACAGGCGCTTCCCCCCCCAGCCCTGTGGAATGGGGAGACCATTCCACAGCCTGGTGGACCCCACTGGCAGGAGAGGGTTCCCAGGAGTCAGCTGTCATTTCCCTTTACTCACTCCGGTCCCATTGCTCCTGGTTATTGCCCACTGACCCCTCCGCCCCCCACCTCAGTAATCCCTCTCCCTCCTGATGATCATACCCCGAGGATGGCACCACGGCCTCCCCACCCCTTCGCCCTCCTTTAGCTGAGCTTTGGCTCCGTCTTCTTCCAGCAAGTCACCCTCGGTCCAGACCAGCAGCTAAGAGCTTTGGGGGCAGTGACCGAATTTCCCGCTCTTTCCCCCTGCCTGGCCCCCCAGAAGAGCCGGGGGGGGCAGCTTCCTGCTGAGCAGCGAGGGGCGCTGGAGGGGCACTCCCTGCCCGGCGGGTCGAGGCCGCTGCCTCTCTACGCGGCCAGCCCTTGCTGCTCTGCAGAGCAAAGGGCCAAGCTGGAAATCCACGCTCTCGCCCCCCGGCACCCCCGCATGTGTCCCCAGTGAGCGGGGGGGCCTCTGCCCACTCTGCCCAACGTGCGCACCAGCTTTGGAGCTCCTCCTCGGGTCTGATGGCAGCCCGGCTCCTAGCTGACCCCGAGCCCCGTCTGCCCTGCAGCGGATCGTAACGAGTGGATGAGGACCCTCCAGCAGATGGTGGACGAGCGGAAGTTCAAGGGCTTGAACAGGATATCCCTGTTCCAGCCGCCCACCGGCGCCTTGGACTCGGTGGACAAGTGCGGGCTGCTGGAGCTGCGGGGCTTTAAGAACAAGCTGTACGTGGTGGTGGCTGGAGATAAGGTTTTCCTGTACAAGAACGCCGAGGTCTGTATCCGCTGAGGCCTGTCTCCTTCCAGGGGTATTGAAATGCAACAGCTCAGACCCCTGCCAAGGGACGGGGGCTGGGGTCACGGCCCAACTCGAATCGCTTCTTACGCCCATCTTTCTCCTCCCCCTCCCACTTCCCCTTCTTCCTTCATGCCATCCCCACTTCGCTCCTTGCCTGCTCCCGCCCTCCTCCCCTGCGTCCGCTCCCTCTGGGCCCTTTCCCTTGGTCTTTCCCTGGGGCCACCAAGAGAGTTTGTGAGCAAGGTTATATGAGCTGTAGGAGCGGGAGCAGCTAGTGCCCGACCCTGGGTCCCCATTGTGCTGGGAGCTGCACATTCACAGGCTCGAACGCTACGCGCTCGAACTGGACAAGGCAGGCAAAGCGTGGGGGACGGATGGCTCATTTTACACATGGGCAGTGGAGGCGGCGGGTAGATGCAGGGTTGTGCCCGAGGTCCCGCAGGGTGTCAGGGCAGAGCAGGACACTCCGGTCCAGCCCTTTGACCCCTCTAGTCCCATCCGTCCTCCAAGGAGGTGCTGGGAAGTGGGGATCAGACCAGGAGTTTAGTCCCTCAGCGCAGAGAGGTGTTACCAGCTTTGCCTGTTACTTTGGGGTACACTCATTTATTCGGGTTACTCTTCGGGAGGGGAAGGGGGTTCTGTAATTCTATCACTGTACTGCTTGTGTCACTTGGGTTCTCATACGGAGCTCTACTTCTCCCTGCTGCAAGTGCCTCCCAGTGGAGCTATCCTGCAGGACCTTGGTTCTGCAGGGCTGGGTTCTTCCAGCCCCAGAATCAGACGAACACACACACATTAACAGAGCGCGTCTGAGTGGACCGGGTTAATCAGCACTCCCAAGCTGAGCCCTTATATATCCCTGGACTCAGCAGACTGGGTCGAGCAGCACTTCCAAGCTGTCACCCTCATATGTCCCAGGTTCAGCATGTCCCTATCCCCACTTTCACGTTGCAATTGTCTGGTAGTGACCCACTTGATGAGCAACCCATGATTTTGGAGCGCTGCAGGGATCTTTTAGGTTTGGTACGAGGACCGTTGCTGCAGAGCGAATGAGGAAACCAAAAAACAACCACGGAGGGGCGGGGGGGAAGGGGAAGGGGTAGTGAGAGAGAGAGAAGCAACCAGCTTAACCATGAAAGTTATTTATTGCCGGTAATAACCATAGGGGAGCCAAGCAAACAAAACTGTTATAATATTAAATCTAACTTATATTTGATTATAAAAGTCAGGTTTAGAAAACTATAACTGATCACACAAGTCAGGGTCAGAAGGCTATACCGAGAGAGAGAGAGAGCTGGATTCTCACCACTCCGTGAAGCTTGAATCGATCGGGAGTCCCCAGTGATGGTGGTAGCTGAGGGTCTGGAGTGCTGGAGACAGGCAGAGCCCCCAGAACGATCAGTCGGGAGAAGATGAAGTCCAATGGAACTGATGCAGATTTTGGATCCAGGCATCAGAACACTTTCCTGAGCAGGGGTAGGGGTTTTTGTAGAGAAACAATAGTTCAAGGGAGAACACTAGATTTGTTTATGTGTAAACAAGGGAGATACCAAAGTTGTTTTGTTCAGGCTAGACAATGGGAGCTGATCATTCCTGGCTTTGGGCGGTGTTCCTTGGAGGGAGCTCACAATGCAATTAGGGAGCTTCACTATTTTGGATACCAATAAAGGATTTATTACTAGAATTGGTCTGATAACTCCTGAGCTGGGTGTGTGCAGGCGTGGGCTCATTAACATCTGGAGCAGAGATCCCCCATGATGCCGTGGTTCCCTGCTTTGCTGGTCCCAGAGTTCCATGCGGTTCTTGTCTTGGAATCTCTGTTCTCCATTCTGTATGCTAATGGAGATGCCTCCTTGTCCCATCTTCGATGCAAATGAGGCTAGGGGAGTTTCCTTAAACCTGTCATCCTTCTCCCAGGGGTTTAGGTGTGTCTCCCACGGCCTTTTCATTGCTTTTTGTAAGTCTTTCTTCTGATCGGTTTTGGCTCAAGCAGAGGCTGTGGGGTGGAAAAGGTCTTTCGTGAGTCAGACAGGCTGGGTACTGCGCCCTGGTTTCCCAAGAACACAGAGCTGCTAGGTAACAGAGGGGCGCAGGACCCGGGTGCGAGTTGCGCTGGAGGTGGGAGTGCGACGCGGCCATTTGCGGTGCCCCCCTGATGTGCCCTAGCCCTGCTCCCCTCCGCCCTGTCTCACCAGGAGGGGAGAGTTGTCTGCAATGCGACTTGAAGGAACTCTGCAGACTGTGGTCTCTTTAAGCCTGGCACAGACTCTTCTACAAAGACCTCGCATGCTGCTCCTGAAAGGTGGACACGGCTTCATGGCACAGACTTTGCCATCTGGGTCTGTCCAGTGCAACGAGTTCCCAGGTTTTAACGTCTGTCTTAGAATCATAGGACTGGAAGGGACCTCGAGAGGTTGTCTAGTCCAGTCCCCTGCACTGAGGCAGGGCTAAGTATTATCTAGACCATCCCTGACAGGTGTTTGTCCAACCTGCTCTTAAAAATCTCCAATGACGGAGATTCCACAACCTCCCTAGGCAATTTATACCAGTGCTTAACCACCCTGACTGTTAGGAAGTTTTTCCTAATGTCCAACCTAAACCTCCCTTGCTGCAATTTAAGCCCATTGCTTCTTGTCCTATCCTCAGCGGTTAAGAAAAACAATTTTTCTCCCTCCTCCTTGTATCATCCTTTTATGTACTTGAAAACTGTTATCATGTCCCCTCTCAGTCTTCTCTTCTCCAGACTAAACCACCCCAATTTTTTCAATCTTCCCTCATAGGTCATGTTTTCTAGACCTTATATCATTTTTGTTGCTCTTCTCTGGACTTTCTCCAATTTGCCCACATCTTTCCTGAAATGTGTTGCCCAGAACTGGACACAATACTCCAGATGAGGCTTAATCAGAGCAGAGTAGAGCGGAAGAATTCCTTCTTGTGTCTTGCTCACAACATACCTGTTAGCGCATCCCAGAATGATGTTTGCTTTCTTGCAACAGTGTTCTGCTGTTCACTCATATTCATCTTGCGGGCTTTGAGGTTGGCCTTCAAGGTGTCTTTATATCTGAGGATGGGTCAATCCTTAGAGCACTGAGCTGGCCACAGAGCACAGCTTTCGGTATATGGGAAACCTCCATGCGGCCCACGGGTCTGACCCAGCGAAGTTGAGACCCGATGAGCGTACTCCGGAAGCCAGAGATTGGACATCGCTCAAGGACTTCATGCTTAGTTCTATGGCAAACACGCCATTAAAAATCCTTTGTAACCTCTAATTCAAGATACAGGAAAGAAGAACAAACAGTTAAAGCATTTGAAATGCAAAATATTAAGGAGCTTTTCTTTTAACCACAGCATTGTTCCCTTGCCCTTGAGCGGCAAAAAGTTCCTATAAGGAAAACTTCCTTGTTTGTCAGTCTTCGGAGATGGTATCAAAGATGGTAATAGCTGTCCTTGTGGGGGGAAAGAGACGAAGTCAGCTGAGATGGGCTGGAACTGCTGGTGCTAAAGTCCAGTCCTGTTTCCTAAGGCAACACAAGAGAGACACACAAAAGGGGAGAGAAAAAGAGCGAAAATGCAGCTTCTGTCTCTGGGCCTGACTCATTTGCAACCTCAGTGCCGGAAGGACGCAGGCCCAGCACATGGTCTTGGTCTTATCACCCACCTGGCAAACGCGTACCAGCGTCGGGCTGTGTACAGCATTGCTTTTATCTGCCTCATTCTGGTCACAGGCTTGCAGCTGTGTTGCAAAATACAGTCTTGGCTGGCTACGCCCAGCTCTGATCAGACAGCGTTAAAAAGGAGAGGGATAGGAAAGAGAAGAAATAAGGGGGGGAAGGAAAAGGACACACGGGTGGCAGGGACGGGGGGTGTTTTACAAACTCTCACATCCCAGGAGGTGCTTGCTCTCGGCCCAGTGTGGTCAGGACATCTCTTGGGATCAGGACAACAAAGGCGGCTCAGTGGTGTTGTGATGGATCCTGGGGTCCCAGGAGACGGTGGGAGTGGCAGCCATGATGGTAAAGCTCACTCCAGTGATCGCTGGCAGACAGCTGCTAATTTGCCCCCAGACGCCTTTTCCTTTTCAGAACCCCAGAAGGGAGCGATGGGCGGAACGGCCCATCCCCTCATTATATCGTACACCGATTCGGCCTCGTTTCCCGCACACCAACTTTGTTCCAGTCCCGCGCTGCTCTTGTTTGATCCGTTGATTTCTGGTCCCGCGCTGCTCTTCTTTGCCAGGTGTGATCTTAACCCAGTGCCTGAGTTATATCCGGAGGCCTTTCTTGTGTGGTCTCATTGGGTCCGTCTGTCTCCCTTTTGCACCTGATCCCATCGCCCTTTGTTGGTTATTGTGACCCTTCGGAAACTTTCATGCGCTTTGCCCCAGTTGAGCTCCCAGTTAGGCTATCTGTGCAGGCCAGTCACCACGACACGCCTCCGGGGCTCGAGGGCCCCAGCAGCGACCATGGCACTGCCAGCACTGGGTGCGATAGGGCTGGTATTGGCACCTGCAGGCTGGATGCCCAGGGCTGGAGTTTGTGCACTGCCTCTTCTCACTTGGCGGCTTCGCTCCCACATGCAGAACAGCTGTAGGTGCCTCTGGAGTGACATTGTGAGTCCCGTACTATTGGTTTTTAACCCTTTCCTGGCTGTTCTTGCCCCGTCAGGATTATCGACAGGGGATCGGAATCACTTACATTGAGATGAATGTGGGGAATGTGAAGGACGTGGACAGAAGAGGATTTGATCTGACGACGCCTTACAGGATCTTCAGGTGAGGGGGGGAGTCTAGGTGCCGTGCCCCACGGGTGCTGGTCCCTCCCCCGCCGTACAGCACGGGTCTCTCCCCAGCCACTCCATTCCCCCCCACGGTTCTCTGGTGTCTTTCAGCTTCTCAGCAGACTCGGACCAGGAGAAGGACGAGTGGGTGGAGGCCATGCAGCAGTCCATCGCCGAGGCCCTCTCCAACTCGGAGGTAGCGGAGAAGATCTGGTCGGTGGAGGCAAACCGGTTCTGCGCAGACTGCGGGTCGCTCAACCCCGACTGGGCCTCCGTCAACCTTTGTGTCGTCATCTGCAAGAGATGCGCAGGTACGGGCCGAGACCAGGTGGCGCGAGCCGTGGGGACGGTGGTGGGAGAGCGGCCCAGCTCCACAGCTGGGCCAGTGAGCTTAGAGCATGGTGCCTCCCTGGCTTCAGCAATGGGACTGGGCTTTGCCTCTTCCTCCATCACCCCGGACTGGGCCGATCCTTCTCGCCCTCCTTAGGAATTGCCCGGCTAGGTCTGATTTGTGCCTGTCTCAGCCATTTTGGAGGCAGGGTCAGGAACCCCCCTAGTGGACACTTGTGGAATTGCCTCCTCCAGAGGGAGATTCTTCCTAACTCAGAAACAGGGACATCAGAGTCCTTCTGACGCAGGATCCGTGCCGGGGCAGCTGCAGCCGGGTCCAGACGAGGCTGCTCATCGCCCAAGCGCACGTTCCGCTCGGGGCGGGGGCTCCAAAGTCACAGCGGGACTTCACTGAGCAGCCCGGCAGCTGCAGCGGAGCCCTGAGGGGCCCTTTCAGGAGTGTCTGTCATTAAGCGTGTCCAGGCTTCTAAGTCTTGCCAGCCTAGCTGTGTTGGCTAGGAATGTGAAACCAATCACCCCCCTCACCGACACAGCTGTGCCGGCAGCTCCCCCAGTGGAGACACAGCTCTGCTGGCAGACGAGCGCTTGTGTTGGCTTCAGGGAGCTGGCAGAGCTCTGCATGCGCTGCCTCTCCACTAGGGGGCTCTGCTGGCAAAGCCGTATAGGAGCTTTACCAGCAGAGGCCCTGTAGTGTAGACAAGCCCCGAGCGGATGGTATTAGTCCAGTTCCCAGTGGCCAAGGCGATGGGCTGGGGATGACCCAGCAATGCCGATCTTGTTCCCACTCGACTCGCTGTGATTCTTTGGCGGTTGTCTGCATCAGAAAACCGCCACGGGTTGGAAAAACCAGGGAGACTGAAGTGTTCTCCTGTCTAGAGCGGCACCCTCCGGGGTAAAGTGGAGGCATGAAGGAGGGGGGAGGCTTACCCAGCACTTAGCAGGATAACTTCGCCGTACCTGATACCGTTATCTCCTTCTGCAGATGGGAAAACTGAGGCAGAGAGGCTACAGCACTAACCCGGGGCCACGGAGCAGAGCCACTGCTTGGCTGCCGAATTCCTGGCTCTCAGACTCATGCTCAGACCACAAGGCTGTGCTGCTGTCCCTAATGAGACGTTTGCTTTTGTTTGTCTGACCCACAGGAGAACATCGGGGGCTGGGGCCGAGCATCACCAAAGTGCGGAGCCTGAAGATGGACAGAAAGGTGTGGACGGAGGAGCTGATCGAGGTATCGGTGCAGATTCCCATTGGCTGGCTGGTGGAAAGGGGGCTCTTTCGTAGCCATCTGTGAAATCCAGCCCTTATTTGATACTCAGACACTTGCGGGGCCTGTGGCAAACGGTACAGAGCCAGACTGGCTGGGTACCCGCTTCTGGGAAGTTCGAAACTGCCAGTCGAACCCATGCGGGCTGATTCTGAGCTCCCGTGCCCCTTGGCATCTGTATTCCCTGACGGACGCTGCTGTGACGTAGAATCCCCAGCTTGGCTTCTGTAGCTTCCACCCTCTGGAAACATTCCCTATTGCTCCCAGGGATCTGGAAATAAACCCGCCCCGATGCCTTCGTTCAGGGGGCGAGCGAGCCCGTGTCTGGGGCCGGGAGCCCGAATGTGCCTGGCTGCAGACAGCCAAGCTGGCGGATCAGTCACGGCCGAGGAGCTCGGGAGCAGGGCAAAGGGACGTAAGGCGTTAATAGCGCCCCTGCACAGCTTTGTTTTGAAGGAGGAGAGGCCGAGCTGTCGGAGTCAGAAACAGCTGCACTGAGAGCAGTGGGAAAGCTGCTGATCCAGGCGCGGTGACTGCGTCTGGAGTAACCGGAGGGCGGGGGAGGCTGTGTTTTGTTCCTGCAGAAATACCGAGGATATGTTTTCAAGCAGCAAAGCCGGCTCAGGAGGTGACGAGTGGGCGAAAGAGGCCTTCCTCTCTCAGGGGCTGGCCAGTGTCTCAGGGTACGTCTCCACTGGATCAGAGGTGTGACGGCTGCCTGCGTGGACGTTCCCGAGCTAGCTTTGCTGGAGCGTGGGGCACAAGCAGTGAAGCCGTGGCAGTGCGGGCTAGCTGTTGGACTTCATGGGCCCAGGGTCCCCTGCGCTGCCGCTGCTGCTTCACTGCTGTTGGTACCTGCTAGCGCGGGTGTGTGTTCGCATGTCGCTGTCACACCTCTCACTGCGGTGGAGACAGACCCTTAGCGCTGTCACTGCCCCGTGTGGCTGCCTGAGCTCTTGGCCTGCGGTAAGTTTTATGCTGCGCCCATCACCAAGCTCTTTGGCGGCCAGTGTGGAATAGATTGCTGGCTCTCAGACGGGCTCCTGGTGATCAGACTAGGACAGGATTCTCGCCGGGAAGGAGTCTTGATGTTCCCTGCCTCCTCGCAGCCACTCCCTGGATGTGTGCACCTCTCATAATCAGCCTCTACTTACAGTTCCCCGCCCAACTACCGGGGAACTGCTCCCACAGAGCCAGGCTTGGGTGGGACTGCGGGGAGCAAGTTTCTTCATGTGCGAAGAGTGAATGGGGGCTGCCGTCTCGAGCAGCGCTGATTGTGAATCAAGAGTGCAGCGGAAGTAGGAAGAACAAAACTGCAGGAGAGAGCGCAGTGTGCGTATGCATCTCCTCTGACAATCTGCACAGAGCGGGACACAACATGGCTGCCTCTCGCTCTCGGCAGGCAGCCGTGTGCTTGGCGAGTTCAGGAAGGGATTCCTGCACCCCCCTTGAATCATATTCAGGCCACCCATCGTTGTGTTCCCTGCAAACCCTAGACTCAGAGACTTTAAGGCCAGAAAGACCCATCTTGATCATCTAGTCTGACCCTCTGCATATCGCAGGCCACAGAACCTCACCCATCCCACCTGCAATAGACCCAGAGCCTCTGGCGAGTTACTGACATCCTCCGACCCTCTCCGCACACCAGAAAGGACCGTACACATCCAGTACATGGATCTGGCGGTGGGGTCTGACCGTGCACTCAAAACAGGCGGGAGCGTGGAGGGAGCTGGCAGGGGGATGCAGACACCGGTCGATACCTAACGCCTGGATGCTCTCAATAAACATTCCCTGACACAAACAGAGCCAGCGCTGCATTCTGAGAGCGCCGGCACCCAAGATGCCCCCGGCTGCCTCTTGCGTCTCCACCTGACCTGGTGCAGGGGCCATTTCGCTTCCCCATCCGCCCCCCCACCACGGTGACCTTGGCCCACCGAGGGGGTGACGGCTGAATGTGTCGCAGGGGGCTGCCCATTTGGGAGGGAGGGCCTGGCTCTGTGAAGCCCTGCATAGCTTGGGCCCTGGCTGTGTGCGAGAGCGCCCTACGGTCAGCCAGCACGCCTGCGCCAACAGCCTCGGATCGAGGTGCTGGGAAAGGTCGTGCGTCTCCTCCCGTCCTCCCAGTCGCTGCACCTGTGACCTGACAGGGTGTTCTCCACCCGGGGATCCTGCCTCGGCCTGAAACAGCTGCCGTCTCTTGACATTTGGACCTCGCTTCTGCTCGGTGGGAGGTAGGTCACTGGCTGCACAGGCCTCAGCATGGCTCTGCCTCCATCACACACCACAGAGACCCCTCTTTGGCTGTTCAGAGGCGAAACCAGACAGTCGTTGGCCTGCCTGAGTCATCCCCAGCAGGAGCCCGGCGCTCCCAGCCCCAGGCAGGCTGCTCCTCCTCGCCATCCAGTCAGACTCAGGGCCCCGCGCCAAGGAGCAGCCTTCCCCGCCCTTCTCCAGGACAATGGGATCTGGAAGCAAAGCGCGGCATGCTGGGAGATTCATCTGCTACCAGGGTGGCCAAAGCTGCTTGCAGCTCGGCCCGTGTCCACCCGGAGCCTGGCTGTGTCCGGCCTCTGCGTTCCAGACACCTCTCCCCTGCCCCAGAGTCTGCTCCTGCCTGTGCCTGCTTCCCACGGCCGCATCCTGAAAGTGCTTCCAGCTGCACTCCCTAGCTGTGGGCGGCAGGTTTCTGTTCTCCCCGCTCTAAGGCTACGTTAACCCCCAATGGTCCCCGCCATGTGACGTGCAGAGAAACCGGCTGACAGCAAAATGGGGATGTTCCCCTCGTAGATCTCACCCCCCTCCGTTCTTCCCCAGCTCCCTCTCCCCCCGGGGAGAGACCAGGACCACTCCACCACTGTCAGTTCCCTCTTACCTTCTCCTCACCTTCTAGTCCCTTCCCTCTCCCCGCTCTGATACTTGCTCTCGCCTTGTGAAGTGTTTAGCTGTGGTGAGGATGGCATTTTCTGTGCACTGCCACTTTGAATTACAAAGGGCTCTGTTCACTGCGGAGTCAGGCAGCCATTTTGTGTCCAGGACAGTGCAGACAGTCAGACACACACACGCTGCACTCTCTACTGGAATCTGCATTGTTGTTCTTCCTTGTGATCTCCACCAACAGTAAAAGCAGTGCCCTTGGCCTGCACTCAGGAGCAACCCTACAATAACAAACCAGTATGTGAAGCCCTGTGCTTGTGAACGACCCTACAATAACAAACCAGCGGGTACAGCCCAGCACTTAGTTGCAACTTGACAATAACAAACCAATGTGTGTGGCCTGGAACTCATGAGCAACCCTCTAACAAACCAGCACGTGCAGCCCAGCTCTTGCCAGCGACCCTACAATAACAAACCAGCACGTGCAGCCCAGCACGTGCAGCCCAGCACTTGCGAGTGACCCTACAATAACAAACCAGTGCAGGAGGAAGAACATCAGTAAGGAAATGTGTGACTCTCGAAGTGCAGGGGCTGCTCCGGGTGAAAATGAGGAGCAATCGCTTTAAAACGTCAGTATGAGCCGACAAGCCTCCGTGCGGCTCCAGAGATGTTACTGTGCGGCAGGAAAGGGGGCAGGGGATTGGCTGCCCTGCCAGACCATAGGCTTAGAGGCTGAGCAGTGTTCTCTGGACTGGGGTCCATAGGAGAGGTGTGTTTGGGCCAGCCAAGGCCCTCAGGGTGTGTTCTGCGGGGAACAATTCCAGACTGGCTGAGGGGGTGGAGGAGATGAACGAACAGTCTGACAGTTAGCTGGTCTCTGTGTCTGTCTGCAGACATCACGCAATGGGTGATTTCACATGTGAACAGCAAACAGGGCTCCCACGTCCGTGCTGGGACATTCAGTTACCAGCTCTCTCTCCTCCACCCCCAGTTCTTAAACTGCTGCCCCTCACCGTGGTATCTGATCTCCGATTCATAGGTTGGTACACCACAGAGCCAGAAGGGACCGCTGAGATCACGTAGTTTGATCTCCTGTTGAATACAGGCCGTAGGACTTCCTGGGATTCATTTGCTTGTCTGTCCGTCTGTCTCTTTGTTCCATTCGCACCAGGCCCCTAGCCCAACCTTCCCCACTCAGCCCAACCCTTGGGAAAAGCCTCACTAACACACGGGCTTTGCACGTGCCCTGCGGATGAGCCCGTTTGGGCTGTTGGACTGAGCGTTAATGACAGGCAGGTTGGCGCTGTTCTCCCCCTTTGACCACACCCAGAGCCGCGCTAGGCGCCGGCCCCACACGGTTTGTCTCGCGTCCAGCGGAGATCCATGTGGAATGCGGGAAGGGCAATGGGGAGGCGGTGGCACTGGCACAGAGGTGCCAGTCTGTGCCGCTCACTCTGCCGTCACTGTTTTGTATCCCCAGCTGTTCTGCCAGGTTGGGAACTGCGTGGCGAACCAGTTCTGGGCAGCCAACGTGCCCCCCAGCGAGGCCATCCACGTGGCGAGCGGAAGCCAGGAGCGGAGACGCTTCCTCATAGCCAAGTACAAGGAGGGCAAGTATCGGCGCTACCACCCACTCTTCGGGAACCAGGAGGAGCTCAACAAGGTTGGTGCCTAGTGCTCTCGAGATCACATTCAGGGGAAGGGCCGGTCGGCGGGCCTCTGTCCCGGCAAGGGGTCTCCATCACCTGGAGACAGTGAGCGGGCGGGGCCTTCTCCACCCAGGGCCTGCGTGCTAAAACGCCTCCTTCAACGCTGGATTTTCCTCCTTGCCTTCTGCAGAGGCAGCACGGCCTAGTGTGAGGGGCTCAGGCCTGGGAGCTGGGAACTCCGAAGGGTGGTTCTGCCTGACTCGCTCTGGGAGCTTTGCCCAGCTGCCAAAGCCCAAATGTTCACAAATGGGCCACCGATGGTGACACTGATTTTCGGAGGGGCCAGGTACCCACAGCTCCAGTCGATAACACTAGGAGCTGTGGGAGCCCAGGCAGTGGCCCGAGTGGTGATCCTCGCGTCTGACCTCCTCCGTCCCTAAAATCTATGAATCTGTGAAATCAGCTCCAAGGTCTTGCAGGTTGATCACGCAAAAGAGGCTACCTGGCTCCCTGCTTCAGTTTCCCCCATCTGTGAAATGGGCATGCTCCTGTCTGACCGACAAGTGCTCAGTGTTATTGTCTGTGATGTGTGTGTTGTATATAGGGAAGGTGTGATGCACGGGGGGGTGGCTCAGGTCGGGCTCTGTGGAGTGTTCAGGTAGTTTGCCTGGTGCGTGGTTAAATGTTGGTTTTCAATAAATAGATGTTAAACTGACGCCTAGGCTGCTCTTAGCCTGAAGATCCCAGGTCGAGACCTGGGAGGCTAATCCAATTGTTCTGGCCAAATTCCAGTTAAGAAATAACATTCTGTCTCCCTGAAATTCCCTCTGCAGTGTCTCAGGTATGGTTGTAACGTGTCATGACATGTTGCTGTGTGCTGTTCAGTAGCTGCTGCGTGCCACCCCAGAGGTGACTGCATCACTCTGCAGATGGGGGCCCGCTTAGTGCTGAGATCCCAGGTCCTCGCCGGGCTGTGGCCGGTTGGGAGGGAGATGGCCGGGGCTTTGCTTTTTCTCGGCGCTGGAAAGAAAGGAGAAGGCACAAGCTAAAAATAATCCGCTCGGCAAATCCAGCAGGATACCGCGGGAGGAGCTGGGTCGATGGAGTGATCAGAACATCGGGGTCCGGAGTCTTGGCTCGGCCCCCCCCCCCCCCAGACCTCTGAAGCAGAAAGTACTGCCCATCCTCTGGCGTCATCCCGGCCCATCGTCTGGGCAGGGATGGTGTCTCTAGCCTCTGCTTGCCAGGGTCTGGGAATGGGCAACAGGGATGGATCACTTGATGATTCCCTGTTCTGTTCATTCCCTCTGGGGGAACCTGGCATTGGCCACTGTCGGAAGACAGGACACTGGGCTAGCTGGACCTTGGTCTGACCCAGTCTGGCCGCTCTTACGTTCTCTTGTCACCCAGGCCCGTTCTCCCTGAGCATAATGCTGCATTTGCTTTCTTCCCATGATCCTATCCACGGGGCCAGTGTCTCCCCTCGTAATGCTGGGGATAGGCCATGCCTGAGGATCCCGGCTCCTCCAGGCCAGCCATCCACTCCTATGCCCCATCAGCCTCCGCCCGCTTTACCTCGGGTCCTGTTTATTCATACCCCACACGCAGTCCGCTGGCAAGGCTGATCTCACTGCTGCTGCAGGGATGCTCTAGCAGTATTTGCCCCAGGTGCGTATTGGCCTTGGCTGCAGCCTGTAGGGAGAGAGGCTGGTAACCAAATGTCAAGACCATCCAGGGACCTGGCAGTTTCATTCTTCTCTTAGCCCAGTACAAAGGTCTGAACAGGACAGATTGAAACTTGCAGCTGGCCTAGATCCCATCCTCCCTGAGGGCTAGTGGCTTTGCTCAGCCTGAAAAGAGCTGGTCTTGACTGAACAACAACTCGAGGGCTGGGCCTCCCGCAGGCACCTTTGCCATGATCACTGTGTGTGTGCGACTAGGAACCGCATGGGGACCCTGGTCTATTCCAGGTGTCGGCAGTCCCTGAACACCAGATGGTTTTCGAGCCCACAGCTCATTACAAGCTCCTCTTGCAAAGCTGACCGAGCTTGTAAACGTTGCAGGGCAGGAGTGGTCGGCTCAAGTGTAATACCCTTCCCCCCCCCGCCATGGGTGAACAGTGGGTTTTGAACCAGGGCACTTCAGCGCTGAAGCAGGCTTGAGCCAACGGAGTAGCTCCTCTAGCAGTAGTAGGCTGTTATCTTCTAGTGGCTCAGTCACTAGGGGGCAATATGATTCACACATTGTGCTGCCTAATTGTGTTGCTTAATTCCTGTTATTGGCCGCTCACACCAAGTGAGTGAAGTCTACTGGGACTCAAAATCACTGCTTCGGAAGAGCCCGGACCTCTGCCACTTGAGCAAGGGGAATTACTTCTTTGGCTGGTAGCGGTAATAAGCAGTTATCCTCTAAAGAACCAGCCACCAGAGGGGGATGCACTGTTACCCTGGGGGCCCCCAAATGACCTTCCAAAACACTGCAGCATAGCAGACCAACCCCTGTGATATTGTTCTAAAGGAATTCTTTCAGGGCAGGCTATTTCCCAGGGGCTCCATCAGGGAACTGAAATCTTTGAAATGAGCAAATTTCAGAGAGCTCTGTTGAGCGTCCCTTTAAGAGACACCTTGAAGCCCTCACTGGTAACTGCTGGTGACAGACATGGCACCAAGCGGGAAAGCAGATTTTTTTTCCATGCTCCAGGCAAAGTTGGGGGGACGGTGGGAGGAGCATAATTAACTTTTGAACTCTTTCTTTTTTCCTTTTGCTTCACACCCGTGGTGAGGATTATGTGGGAGCAGCGACTGGGCTGGAGAACAACAGAAACCAGGCTGGCCGTATCAGATTGCAAGCCGCTTTCCCTCCTGGGCTTTGTATTTTTGTTTGCTTAGGAAGTCCAGTCCCCGCCCTAAGTCTCTCTTGGCTGGCTGGGAGTCGGAGAGGCGCTCTGGAATTCCACATGTGGGCTTGCTTGTTTTCTCCCCATACAGAGGCCGTCCCACCCTCTCGCTGTATGACTTCACCTAGGGCTCCGTAAAGGAGGGATTAAAACCAAAGCCGCTCCAAACTTTCTCCCCCAGTTCAAGCCCCTTTCCCTTCCCCAGCCGGCCTGGAAGCCAGCTCTCAGCTGCAGCAATCCGCAGCCCTTGCCTGCGGCGCTTTCTGCCTCTGTCGATATTTTGTTTCCAGCCTGTTTTGCTGAGCTCAGCTCGGAGCCCTCCCACCCTGGGTTTTAGCTGGTGAGGGGGCTTTGGCATTCTCTGCTGATGCTCTGCCGTGTCTCCAGCGGCGACTGGACTCATCTGTTGCCTTCCTTGCCCTCTTGCAGGCCCTGTGCGCTACGGTGACGACCAGCGACTTGGCTGAAACTCAGTCCTTGGTGTTCTGCGGGGCGGAGGTGAGCTGCTTCTCCGGGGACCCCGACTTCCCTAACCCCATCGCCTTAGCCGAGCAGGCTGGACAGAAGCTGCAGATGGAATTCCTGCTTCATAACAAAAACTCAGGTAAGAGGAGCAGGTGGGGCCAGGCAGAGCCCCCCAGCCGGGGCTGTGAGCAGGATGGAGGTCTGGGAATGCGGCTGCTGAGCTTGCCTTGCCTGAGAGAGACGGGTGGGCTGGGCTAGTGGTTAGAGCATCAGACGCGGGCTCTGTTCTCGGCTCCGCTACTGACTGGTTCAAGGTCACACACCAAGTCACTTGCGTTGTTTCTCTCATCGGTGAAAGAGGGCTGGGTGTGCTCACCTACCTCGCTAATGAGGCTTGATTTGCAACCTGTGCCAAGTGCTTTGAGATCCTCCGCGCCACGGAGGAGGGGCCGAGTGTGGATCGCAAAGTTGCAAGAACACTTAAGAGATCCTACGTGAGTTTGAAGCATTAGCTCGGAGCGTGCTAGGTCCCTGGCAGAGCTATTCGAAACTGGGCGGTGTCGGTTCACATGAGCCAGGGCTTTGGTTCTGTGGGTCCCATGTGAACCCCGAACTGCCCTCGCCCCGTCCCTGGGCCTGCTCTGAACTCTCCCCTGCCTCCTCTTGGGCTGACTCAGAGCTGAACCTCCTGGCCCCACGGTGGCTCAGGTTTCAGCCCCAAAGGACCAACTTTTGGCACAAACACGGAGTCTGTGGCGTGTAGCTGAAATCAGGCTAGCACTGGTCAGGCTTCCCGGAAAGTTTCCCCCACCATTCTGGAGACAGTGTCAGACTCAGGGGTGTAATGAGCACAGGGAGTGGGTATGAATGAGGAGGGAGCTGGTATGGGTGTACGTTGGCGTCAGCTGTAACACACATTTAAAACTGTGTTTAAAAAGCCCTTCTTACCCAGAAAAAACGCAGCGAACGGCCCAGCTGCAAAGGCACCAGGAGCGGTGGCTTCTCTCCCACCGTTCTCATGGGCTGGTTGGAATCTGCCTGGAGCATCTTTCCGTGCTGTCCTAGCATGCCTCAGCAATCTAGGGCAGCGTCCGATGGGAGGGAGCCCCGTGGAGCCGGATCCTGCAGTCCCTCCCCTGGGGGTCTGAAAAGCGATGTTCTCTCCCCTGCTTGGCCCCTGCGCTCCATCAGTATGAGATGAGAAGGCGTCAGGCTGGATTCGGCTCTTCGCTGTAGCGGCGTAAATCAGGCGCGACTCTGCTGAAGTGGGAAGGAAGGGCAGGTTGGGTGGTGGTAGGAGCTGCAGGTTCCTATTCCACCTGTTCTCAGTCACACGGTCACCGGGAGACCCTGTGTGGAGCTCCACCCTCCAGCCCATGGCTGGGACCTCTCTGGATGCCAGCACCCCCAGCGTCTGCTCCCGTGAAAGGCGATGCAAAGCTCCCACCGACTGCTATGGCCCGGGATAAACACACCCGCCGTGCTGGTTCTGACAGAGTGCTCTCGCCGTGCATTCAGCGCAGCAGGGTGATGGAGCGCCGGTTGCAAAGGCTTGTCTGTCTGTCAGGTGACCGCGCGGTAAGGCAATAGACCCAGGTGTTTCCAGGTGCTCGGGCAGATGGCTGGGGGAAGCGTGACCCATCAGCTGCCCGGTATTCACCAAAGCGATGCTCCGCATTTCCAGTGAGGGTTTCCGCCCCCGTCAGTGCTTTGCTGGGGTCTGACCTGTGTGGCGCTGAGCACCCGAGCTCCCAGCTGGCTTCCTGCTCAGCGTGGCTCATTGCTTTGCAGCATTTGACCCTTCATGAGCGTGTCAAGCCACATACAAGCAGATCCTGGCCTCCAGGGGAAGATCGACTGTGTGCATTCAATAGAATCCCTCCCCACCCTGCATCGCCACAACCATTTCCCCACCGGCCGCGGCCCTGCAGCGCTTGATGTTAGATCTCGGCACGCTAGTGCTAGGGCAGAACAAAGTCTGCAAACAAGCCCAGGTTTTGGTTCGCTTCCAGCCCATCTCTCACCTGCAGCTCTGGTTCCATAGGACAAAATCCTCAAGTCAGTCAAAGGGCGTCTCATTCTAAAGGCTTACTCCTGGTTCTGTTATATCCCTGGAAAACTCCCATCGACTCGGGTAGGGACCCGGACGTTGCAGAGGGGAAGAAGGAGAGGAAATGTCCGTCACCAGGGATACAACGCCTGGGAGCACAGTGTGGGCCAATCGATCTCAGCTGTTGATCTCTAGTCTAATCTATTGACAGCTCGCTCATGACCGTAATGTCTGGGTGACCTATAAACCTCTTTTCAGAGTAGCAGCCGTGTTAGTCTGTATCCGCAAAAAGAACAGGAGTACTTGTGGCACCTTAGAGACTAACAAATTTAT